AATGAGAAATGTAAAAAAATAAAATTAAATTAAATTAATTTTTTAAAAAGCTGGCTCAGGCAGGAGGATTCCAAGTTTGAGCCCAGTCTGGGCAACTTAGTGACTTAGTGAGACCAAATAGCAAAAGAAATATTTAAAAGGCCTGGGGATGTATCTCAGTGTTAAAGAGGCCCTAAATTCAACTCCAAGTGTTGAGAAAAAAACAAAGACAAAACATGAATAGACTTGGATAGGTTAGCTGACCCTGTGCCCCTCCCTATGTGACAGGTAACCTAATCTGGACTTCTAAAGGAATACTAGGTACCATAATGTACCTAAATTTGCTGCACCTTGCACATCTCATCTGTAGAGAGGAGAGGACTCCAGCACCTTAACTGAGTACACAGCAGATCACAGATGTGGAAGTGATGCCTAGAACCTCTGAAGCAGTGGTTCTCAACTATGAGCAGATTTGCTCCCCAGCAGACTTTTATGGCTGTCATCTCTTGAGAGTGCTACTAACATCCGGCAGGGAGAGGTCAGGGCTGTTGCTGACTGTCCTACGATGTAAAGGACGGCCACTCATAGCAAGGAATTATGGGTCCATAACATCAATCATGCTTTGGCTAAAAAATCTGGCTTGGAAGGTGTTTGATACGTGTCAATATCCACCTTTTCTTCCTAAATTTAAATAAGAGAAAAGGAGAAGTACATGAGGATAAGATCTTCAATATGTAGCGATGAATAAAGTTCCTGACTAGGATAGCAGAAGTATCAAAATCAAGGATCTCAAACTCAAATGTAAAGAGGGGCCAGGAAAAAAATATAAATAAGTAAGGCATTACGAGAGCAAAGGAAAAATTTTTTAAAAACAGACAATGAGGGCTGGGGATTTAGCTCAGTGGTTCTGCCACCTGCTTCACAAGCGCAAGGACCCAAGTTCAGTCCCCGGTACCAAAAAAAAAAAAAAACAGACAATGAACGAAGACATTAGAAAGATTCTACATATTTTTCATTTTGTAAAAGAAAAGTAGCTGCACCCCCCCCAATAGAAATGGTATCTTGCCATTGAAGAACTCCACTTTGAGTTCTCAAAGCAATAGAAAACGGTGGGGACAAGGGTCACCTGGAAGGAGCATGTGTCCCCTCAAGGGCCAGCAATTTCTCTCTCTATCCAACAGTTATCATTAATACAGGATTGATGGCCCAGGGGTAAAAATGTGGGAAACTGAAAAGAAGGATTGTGCTGAGTTTTATTTTGTTACAGAATCTCACATTTCTTGCATTTTTTTTTTGGTTGTTATTGCTCTGAAGATTGGAAAACATTGGCCATGGTCGTGTTCGTTTGTTTTCTTTTTTCTAATATTAAATCTCAAATAATGACAAATCACCAATTGTAGGGTCTGGCAAACTGCTGCTGTTTTCATATGGTCTGCTAGCTAAGAATACTTTTTAAATATTTTTTAAGGTTGTAAAAACAAAGAATATGCAACAAAAACTGTCTATAGCTCATAAAGCCTAAAATATCATCTGATCCATTACAGAAGATTTTGTTAACCCTTGGTTTAGTATATTAAAGTGAAGTTTCCTTACCTTCTAAGTAGGTAGAACAAAATAACAAAGTTCAGGGAATCTATGGCTCATAAAATGAATGTACAGGAAACATTAGATTAAGGCTTTAGTGTTTTTCTCAATGCCAAAATAGTTCCTTTGAAATTCTAAATGAAACCATCTTTTATCCATTATTAAGATTAATTATCATGGCATTATGTAAAGGTACAATTCCCAATGAGAAATGTAATTGTGTTGTATACCTACAATGTACCAATAAAAGAATTTAATT